TGGCTGGTGTGCGAAAGGAGCATATATTAACTTGCATGATTTAAGGCTTTCTCCTACCTCTCAGCTCCTGGCTGATAAAGGGCACAAGGTACGGTTTTTGGCAGTTAAATTGTGTGGTAAATTTGATTGTTTAAACATATTGCCTGATCAGCACTGTAGTTTTACCTTATAAGTTATATTGTTTACAGTAGTTCAGGGTTTATTCGATCATTGGTATATTTTATGTTTCTTAATCGCACTCTAATCGGAGGGTGTTAAGATTGTAATGAATAAAATCATACAGGTAGCACCTAAGGAGAGGTTGTCAATGTTTAAAATATATTACATATATACTTCGTTGTCGTTGTAAATGCTTTATATACATTTAAAAATACATTATCAGTGTTAAAATAAGTCTATTTATAAATATTGTACAGTGGTAAGGCAAGGATATAATTTAATGCATATAAAAAGGGGATGACATTGTAACGTAAATTATAGTAAATACGTATACATTATTGTATATGTTTATTACTAACATTGGTGATGATTCATACCATTTACAGGCAAATGTCTATTGTTTGTTTTGTTTTTATTCAGCTCTTACGGTGTTTTGGATATTAAAAAAACCCTTATCAAACATCAGTTAGAGAGTAAAGTGCTTATGTTCAGCTGGGAATGCTACATGTATTTTCCCCAAGTATTTTCTGTTTTTTTTTTTTTTTTTAAAAAAGGTTTTCCCCTCAACGGCACAAATTCTGGGTTATATAGGATCGTTATATTAGTGCTAAAATGTTCTTTTGAGATCCTTTCACTGTCACAGAGAACCAATTTGAGCTTCCATAAACCGTGACCCAGGGATCGCATTCCCTGCCACACCTTCTAGGTCTCCATAGTAATAGCTAGTATCCAGCTTGAGGTTACAGTAATGTATGCAGATTCGCTACATTTGCCATTACTCACATGTCTCAACCCTCTTTTCACATATATTCATACTTCAATGAAAATATTTATGAATATTTATGCTGTTTTGCCATCTATACATTGATTTTCTGTACCCACTTGTCCTATGCAGGGTCATGGGGGGGTATCGGAGCCGATCCCAGGATGGGGTGCCAGCAAGTGACATGGTATTATATGATCTTTAACATTTGTTTAAAAAAAAAGAAAAGAAAAGAAATACACTTACATGCATTTCTATTGTGGGATAAAAAATCTTGAAATACAGGGTCCTTCTAGTTGCATTGACATGAATGGTTTTCTAAAAATAAAAACACTACAAATTTCAAGTAATCTATGGTATTTTTGTATTTCATCCCAAACGATCTGAAGCTCCCTTACAAATACACAGCTTCCACGGTGTCTACTCTTTATATACTTAATGTACTCTATCACATTGTACATCTAGCTGTATGTTGAAAATGTTACTTTACAGTAAGCAGTAAAAAATGAAAGCAAACAGTAAATTTCTTTCAAAATGTCAAGTTTTTGTATAAATTATAAATTAATAGTAAAATAAATACATTGCATTATTACAATATTCCAAATTCAACCTCATTAATCTGTGTCTCAACCAGTGCATAGTAAGCTGAGGAAGATCCAAAACCCTCATGGGAAATCCAAACCCCCCCCCCCACCCGCTTCCCAGTACCAGAGTGGGCACCCGGGTGTGAGGGAGCGCCAAGCTCCCCTCTTCTCTAACGGGATTACAGATCTCTAAGGTTGTACCGTGACCCAAGGAAAGCCTGTAGTGGGATAGCCCACGTTTCTCAGTGTGCTGGATTTATCACCGGGTGTCATTTACATACAGCCAGGTAGAACCAGCAGTGGGATATTCACACAGCAGCAGATGGGCTCCGCTTACCTTGTCCTGAACACATTCAGCGCAACCTGCTGTCTTGGGTTGTTGAGTCTCTCTCGTTGCGCCAGATCCTGGGAACCCGTTTGAGACTCCAAACTGTCAATGTAACCATACGTTCTCAGTAGCTCCCTGCCAGACTGAGGTTTTTATTCAGCAGTTTATTTACTTTATTCACACATGGGTAGGTATCTGATGAGACAAATCGAAAGGCGTTGCCCATTGGCTCATTTTTAGGCATCTCCAGGGACCAATGAGAATAAACTGCCACTTCTTCTGTAGCCAATGAGCATAAACACTTTCTCATAAGTAAGCGGTATTCTAATTTGACATGAGCTAAAGACCCAGAAGAGCTTCAAGTTACGCCCCGTACTTTGTTGTGCTAACAAGGTGATAAGAGAGAGACGATCTGCTGCGGACAGGTTTCACGGTCACAGAGTGGCTCTGACGTGAGCGGCATTGTCAAGATTATGAAGGATTGTTATAAGCGACTGAAGGCCACTGGGTTCGTCACAGGCAGGCCTGCCAGAAACATTCCATATGGAAAAGTTTTTTAAAAGTAACATGCAGGGGCGGATTAAGGTGTACAGAGGCCCCTAGGCTACAGTAGTCTGTGGGCCCCCCAACCCTGCCCCCCTCCACGCCAATGGGGGCCCCCTTGCAGGCTGGCACACGTGGGGCCCCTAGGCTTAAGCCATATCTAGCCTGTGTGTTAATCCGCCCCTGGTAACATGACTGTTATGCGTTTCCCCCAAGTCATACAAGCTCTTTATATGACACTCAAAATAAATATACAATGCATATTAACTTAATGTGTCATTGGACATGTATGTCCTTTATTCATGTAACAAACATATGAAATTAATATACTGTCAGATAACCTATATACATGTACAATGAAATTTTAATTAATCTGTCATTGGTCACATATGTACTTCATTTGTGTAAAATACATATTAAATTCATATTTTGTCAGTATTAGTTTTTGTACCTAATGAACTCAATTGCATCATGGACAGTGACTCCACACAACTGAAACAAGTGCTTTGAAAACATTGATGCATATTCTGAGAACATAAAATAGTTGAGTTAATCCCATCGAATTTTGTGATGAATGGGGAGAGATCATGCATGTCTTTCATTAGAATGATATAAAAGCAATAGAAAATTTTATCAAGAAACAACATACAATAAACATGTATTTCTTACTAAAGCCATATATATCACATATGGTAAAATGTAAAGTTCATGAAAAGTTTTATATTTTTCTATCAGCTTCTCCCTTGACTGCCTTATATGTCACGTATGTTTCTTTAGTATGAATGTGGCCATAATCATACTAGAAAAAACAATGACGTAGTGAGCATATAAAAAGCATCATGTGCTGTCATGTGTAACTGAAATAAGGAACATGCTTGATAACCTTATATGAACAGTGCTGTTTTTGATTTGTGTGGGGTGAGAGGTTGTCAAAGTGAATTGTCGCAATCCTTCATGGAACACCGGAAGCTATAGCTAATGTGGCGAAACTGCGACGACCTCCAGCTATCCCTCTGCTAGTTCACCTTTGCAGCCTAGACTACTGAGCAGATGCCTGACTCTATTCAAAGCGGGGCTGGCAATGTCTCCAGGTGCCTGGACAACATACAATATTTCAGAGCAAGCAGACAATGGAGCAGAGCTTCACTATGCCCTCCTCTGTGGGCCACCCAGTACTGTTACAGATCTACACCTTCCTGACTCTGATTCACGCTAAAACTCGGAAAGCTTCTTGGAGGAAACAGTACGGCATCATGGCACCCGCCTCAGAAAGCCCCATAACTGTGGATGCTTCTCTAGAAGCAGAGTGTCTTCTCTTGAGTAGAGCCCAACAGGAAAGCTTCCCTGATGGGACTGAGACTCCCCGTCTCCACCAGCACTCACTCATTCCCCAGAGTTTGATCAGGACAAAGAGGTGATCACTGACTATATGGAGCTGAGGGACTCAAATAGCTTATTAATGCGATCCATTCTCATAGATCCAAAGCTTCCCATGACCCAAGTCTTCATCAAAGATTACAGCACCACTGGGGGCCAGGGCATGTGCTTGCTGAAATTCGCTCCGCTTTTACGTTCTGCAGGGGCATGATACAATATGGGAACACTAACATATCGGAAATGGTCAAACCAGCCATAACTACAGTGGCTGATCTATCAGCTTCCTGTGTCTGTTCAAACTATTCTGTTCTATTCTGTCAGGATTGATTGCTTCGGTCCCCTCACTGTAAAGCTTGGATGATGCCAAGAAAAATGTGGAGCATTATTAATGTGTCTCACCAATAGAGTGGTTTATTTGGATGCCTTTTTAAGTATAGATTCAGACACTAAATTATCAAGCAGTTGATTTGTCAACTTTAGATTTTCATTCTAAAATTATTGAGCAGAAGTTCAGATTGCTTTGTAAGTAAAACTGAGTTGAAGCTTGTCTGATTGGAATTTTGAAAGACTGGTGATTGTAGTGATATTTCTATCAAATTTGAGTCTGATCAAAAGCTATTCCTTTAAATAAAGCCAGTCAAAATGTTTATATACTGAATGTCATCATCTTTTATTTTCAGATTTATTTTCAGTGTTATCTATTTCGCGATAGTTTCTTGAGACTTGCGTTGATCTCAGTATTGATTGTCATAAATCAATTACGCATTTTATGCCATGAGCTGTTCCTTTGAAGACCATCTGCCAGAGCTGCCTCACTGCAGCGCATGACCAAAGCAAAGGGAGCCTTTGATGGATTCACTGTGGCACTTGGGGAAGCCTGAGCCAGTGCTTATGCAAACCCAAATCAACCTGGACCACCAGGCCTGTCCAATGTGCCTCCAAAGCAATTTTTGTACATATATAATTTTATGTCAAGTCATGTGTTTTGTTTGTTTACTGGTTTATCTGACAGGGACAATGCATATCAATAACTGTGAATGTGCCAGTTAGCCAAAAGGCTAGTTTTTACTTATAGACCCTGGGTTCTTTGCTTTGTTAAGAGAAGAATACATACAAAGATAAAACATTCTATATACAATAAAATACAATACAACAAAAACAAATGAAATCCGGAGCTGGAAAGTTCAGGTCCAGAAAGTACAAATCCAGAGTAAGGTTTTGGTTCAACCGACCGGTTGAGTATAAAGACTCACAGTCACAGAGTACTCAGCTGGTTGGTTGAAACAAAACCTTGCTCTGGATCTGTACTTTCAGGACCTGTACAGCTGAAAGGCAAAGGCACATATAACAAATCAATATTTTTCAGGAAATAAAACAAACCAGTAAAAGACGTCACATGAGGGATTATCCTCCATTAGTTCTCACACGTGCACTTACGCTAAGTCGCCCTTCTGAGTTGCAGGCTGCACAGCCTGTGATGGACTAACATCTCATCCAAGGTGTACATCGTCTTGTATCCCGTGCTCCCTGGGATATACTGTCAACAATTTACTTCAAAATTTACAGTATACTGCCAGTGAAGTGCTGTAAATAAACAGCTCTTAGCTGTGACATTTTAATCAAAGTTTACAATATTAAAAATACAGTAAATATTGTAGTCACACAGTATGATTCTATTCATCTACAATAAAATTATCATTGTTTCTGCAGCTGGCATATAGTACATGTCAGACTACAGTGCCAGCCTGCATATATTTTACAATAAATCACAGTAATCTTTGTCAGTTAGTTACATTGCCAATACTTTAATGCAAACAACTACAGGTGAATCTTACACTGAAACTACAGCTACCATAATCGTCTCATTGCTCTAGAATTCTTCTTGAAATCTTAGTATTATGGGATGTTTTTTGTCAGGAACAATAAACTGTTTAACCAAAGACTAAGCAGTAATTTCTCCAGTTTCAGGTTGTCGCATGGCTAAATTACCAAATACAAAAAAATACAAAGCTGTGGAATCCATGTGCAACACTAAAATAATAAAATGAACAAGGTACAAATATTCTTCATGTTTAGCCAAGAATACCTGATAGTACTTTTAGCAGTTTCAAAACTAGCAGCAATATTTTATCAACTTCTTTCAGTATCAAGAGAACAAAAAAGCAAAAGCCAGTACAATATGATAAGAGAGGTTTGTTTGGTTCTGCGGTAATCGCGTTTGCGTGTGGCTCGGCAGGCGAAAGCTCTGTGCCTGTGATCAGAAGGCTGCTAGTTTCAGCCTGACCTTGGTAAAATAGCCACATGTCTGTGGGCCCACAAGGAAGTGGCTTCCCCTTTGCTGAGACCCCCAAGTTTGCTCTCACCTTTACGGAGAACAAGATAGGGCAAAGAAACCTTCCCTATGGGGATTAATAAAGTATCGCGATTCTATACTTGTACCACATACTATGTCTAAACAGTAAACCACTCAAAATCCATCATTTGTCTGAAAAAGGTAAGTAACACTTCCTGGGTTACAATGGTCCGTGTTATGATATTTTCACTTTTCAGTACATTATTCAATAAATTACATGAGACAGTTTGTTATAAAATTGGCCTTGTGTTAATGATTTTGCCCAACTGTAGGCTAATGTAAGTATTCTAAACGTGTTTAAGGTAGGCTAGGCTAGGCTATGATGTTTGTTAGCTCAGGTGTACTGTATTAAAATGCATTTCGGAAGGTTTATCGGAACATAACCTCATCATAACCTGCTTGCCAGCTCCAACTATCAGCCACATTCTTGTATTAATACACATGATCCCTCTGTCATATAAATCAAATTTATAAATCTCCCTGACAATTGATTAGTATATAATGAATGGCTGAACTGACTGACTGCTGAATTACTTCCAGTGTGCTTGGTGCTCCCTACTGACACTGCACGAGGAAGTTACAGCAGGTCACAAACAGCACTGCAAGGCCTGCAGCAGTGTCACACCAGGAGAGGCTGTGTACTCACAGCTTTTGTCTGTGAATCACTACTGTGCAGAGACGTTTTGAGGGGGTGGTGCTCAGTGCCTTTAACATATAAGGGGCACTCTGTATCTTAAAAAGGAGACACTTTCAGTAGTTCAGAGAAAGGAGGCAGGTATTCAGGAATACCCAGCAGGCCTACCGATGAATTACAAATTGGATACACAGTTGCTAAAAAGATTCTTCAGCTGGGATAGCCTGACCATCATGGTTATCATCACTGAAAAGTTCTACGGTTACACTGTGTGCTATATTTATGAAAGATGATTATAGACAGCGATTGACATAACTGCTACACAAGTACGCATTCACCTTTAAAAGCGATACCAAGTTTTGTAACAAATACAAAAATTACGAGGACATAGTTAAAGTAGGAGAAACATCTGTGAAAAAAGACAAGTGAAAAGAAAAAGGTTGTGGAAATCAAAATGCTTTAGTCATAGATCCCTGATTTATTCAGCACACTGTCAACATTTTGCACAAGATCCTTCTGATATTCCCACAGTTTTTTGTCCACAATGAGTTGCTCTTTGGTGAGATTCCCCTGTAAAGGAACTCTGACATGTACAATTCTGCACACATCAGGTGGAACTGTCAATGTGCCTCCATAATTCTTCAGCACTGAATGCACTGATGTCTGCACCACTTGCCTTGGGTTTATGATCATCTTGGTGGGGTTGTAAACATCTTTCCTGTCAGGTTCCTGATAAATGTGTTCCAAGATGTTTATTCCTGGAACGTTTTTCCACTGTGTTAAGTTGAATCTGCCCATATCATCAAAGACGGTTTTGGGGAAGATACGATTCTCGATAAGAAAGACTCCTACTGTGGGGTTTTGTCTTTGCAGGTCCTCCAGGAGAATCTCCAGTGTAGCATGTTGATAAGGCACAATTATTTCATCGATGTCATTCAGCAGAAGATACTTGGATCTGTACATGTTTCTGTAGATACAGTCGTTCAGAGTAGTTAACTGCCCATAGTAATGGAGGTCACCTTTGTCCCTTTGAAATTGCCAGCCTTTAGAGGGATTGAGGAACTGACCTATTGGCCATTGGTGGATTTCAAGTGTACCCTCTTCCCTGTAGAACTGCAGAACCTTGTCAAGGTCTGGACCACAGCTGGTGTTATAGATGACCACCTTCTGTATGCCCAGGAGTTTGTACACTTCTATGGTCTGCACAAACTGCAGTACATTGTTATAAGTTCCAAAGAGGTTGGAGATGCAGACAGTAAAATTATGTTTGAAGTTGTGCTCTTTCGTCTCTCTGTTTCGTATGGGTAAGAAGATCATATCTGGAATGTCTGAGGTGTATGGAGAATTACTGATGGTGACATTTGCAGCATCACACTTTGGTTCAGTTTTACACAGCAGGTCTGTGGTCTGGTAAGGGAACCCAAAATGATCACGGTGTATGTTGACCTCTGCTGCTGTAACCAAATATCCATGTTGAGCACAACCAAAGATACAATAAAGTGTTCTGACATCATCCCGCTTAATTATACTAATGATACGAATGGTTCCATTAATCCTGTGATCTTTGTAGGCAGAAACCAGAAAATGCTTTGTGTCCTTAATCGGCGTTATATTTTGCTCAGTCAAGTTCTTTGCACACTGATTAGTCAAATCAGCTGTTGGATTTAACTTATTTCCCCATAAATGTGGATATATAGCCATATTTCGCCCTAAGGCAATGTTATAGACTATCCACATCACCACAAAAAGTATTAATGACAAAAAAAAATATTTCGTAAAACACGTTTTCTCCATGAAGATGAAATTGGCTGTTCAGTATATCTGGAGAAGGAAAACACAGAAAATTATAAATGCATAATATCTTAACTGCACATACCCATTATAGGCAAATTTAACATGTTTGGAAGTTTCAAGAGCACAGAAGCAATGTCCATTAATATGTTGAGTGAAATACGCTGAGATCATCATTCTTCATAATGTTAATAATACCAGTGGTTCCATTTGTCCTGTGAACGTGGTCTTGCCGCATCCTCTTGTGTCCTGGGGCAAAGGTGTTGTGAAATGTGCTATATAATTGAACTAAACTGAACTTTATACAGTAGGCTAGACTACTGTAATGCTCCATTATCAGGGAGCACACGTCACACATTAAACACCTCACAATGTATTCACAATACAGCAGCTAGAAACGTTACAATAATGTAACCTGTCCAATAGTTAGGCATACCTGCACTGACTTCGAAGTTATTGACAAAGTTCACTGACTTCAGGACTTCAAAGTTCTTTTAACTTACATTTAAGGCAATCAGCGGTCAAGCACCTGCCTATATAACAGAACTGATTAATATCTACATGCCATATCATACACTTAGATCACAAAATGTAGATCTCCTCGTATCCAATATACAAATTAAATAAAACTTTATCGTAAAGCCTTTAGCGATGGTGCCCCTATATTATGGAACAGTCTGCTAGTTCATGCATGGGATACGCCGAGTCCATCTCCATCTTACTGAAGACTTAATACTTTAGCCCATGTGCACCTTTAATTTTGCATCCTCTGTTCTTTGGGATCACATCGCAATTTTAAAAGTTGCAAAAATCCTTTAGATCCTTTTTCGTCAACTTACGTCATCCCATCCCTTTTTTGACCGGTAGACTTCTGCAGTTTGGCTGCGGCACAAGACAAATTTTCATTTTTGAATGCGGGAGTGATTGATGTATCAACATCAGACCGCTGGTGATAATGACGTCCATACATTGGTGGTAATAATGCAGCTCGTAATCATTTTTTTTTACTGATGCACGCATGTGCATGAACGTCTGCCCACACGCGCGCACACACACCAGTTGCCAGGTCCAGCAAAAATCTCCTGCCCAAGGTCTGCTAAAAATCCACCCAACGGAAGCTGAAACTAGCCCAATATTTGAAATCCCATTATACTGTATCTCAAAGAAATAAACCAGTACTTTGCACGATGATAACATTCAATTCAAATTTTAAAATCACAGTTAAACACAATGATGTCACACAGACGGACGCACTTTATTTTCCCAGGGTTGCCAACTTTAGTCAGCTGGCTAGAGTGAAATCTTCAATTTGAAACAAGTCTGCATACGCATTTACATCTATGTAACAGTTTTATTACCTTGTAAATAGTATGTAGTGTTTTCAAACCACCCCAACGCTTTTGATGTAGCTAATTTTAGGTTTATAATGGAATAATACAGTTTTGCCGTAAGATTGCTTGCGTGAGTCCGGAGTTTGCACATTGCACTTCATATTGTACTCATTTTAGTACTGTCTATAGTCTCCCCTACTTTGACTAATTGCATATTTTATTTCCCCTACTCCTCCTGGGGGGTGCTGCCTGGAGACCTCAATCTATCAAGATGTCCAGCACACCCTGCTACATGTGACGTCGCCACCAGGGGCGCTGCTAAGGATTTTGGGCCCCATGAAAAGAATCTTGACAGGGCCCCCAACACAGCTGAGACTTTTTTCATATTAATTTACATAAAATCATGCACTTTTATGGTATTTTGACTATCATTCTCATATATTTAAGTCAATCAGACAATTGAACTCCATCCCATGTCCACACCCGTAATTTGTCCTCTGTAATATTGCACTACTTCAGTACTGTATAATGTATATACAGTACTGTGCATAGCTGTACATGTGTCATATAGTGTATTCACATATATTTATATTTGTATGTATGCACTGTACATATTTGTACTGTACACTGGCAATGACAATAAAGTTAATCTAATCTAACCTAATATTTTTAACATGACAATTGAAATGTAATGGAAACACTGAGCACTCTTAATGCAATGAAATGTATTAATATTTATTTGCTTCAACACTGATTATTGAACACTTATTTTGAAATCTCAAAATAAAACTCTTCAATTTAAAAAAACAGTGGTGGAAAAAAAAATCTCAACAAGAAAACACCACCATAAAACAAAATGGCCATATAAAATTTCTAATAATTTAAGCAGAACTTGCATAATATATTATATCAAAGAATAGCATAAATGTACAACATAAATGAGTCTCAGTTCCCTTATAATGCACTTTTAACACTAGAACGGCCACCAGCAGTCATTTTAACCGCAACATTTAAACTTAGGGTAATTATCTTTAACACTAGAACGAACAAGGCGTCATTTTGACCGTTTTGAAATTTGCATATTCAATAACTTTGTCTAAATAAATCACAAAGCCTTGGTGCTCCCTGACTTTTCCTAAAACTACATGAATTTTCATTAAAACTAGTTTAAATATTTGTGTAAATAAATATTTAAACCGTAGGCCACGATCATTGTCACACGGGCGGTCCACTAACAATTTAGTCCTACTTACAAGCCCACCTTTTCTTCTGAAATATTGGGTAACATACTGTCGACCCTTTGCCTCTTTCACTTGTCTTATTTTTTTCTCTTTCCGTTTTTGGCTTCCAGATTTTTGAGGCATTTTCACTTCTGCCGGCGCTATAAGTGAAGTCAAGCTGTTGCCTGGATACTATTTGGGCGGACTGGACCATTTTATGATAATCGAGAGGGGGAGAGGGGCTCACGGACGTTTGTGTTTCCTAAACAAACACATTTTTTGACACCAGGAAACAGCAAATAGAATAATTTTAAGTTAATAATTTTTACTATCAGCACCACAATTTTATTGGGGGCTTCTCTGGGCCCCCTCTCAGTCATGGGCCCCGAGAATCGTCATCGTTTACCCCCCCTTTACAGCGCCCCTGGTCGCCACTACCAATGACGTCCGTGCATCCAGCTCGCCATTCTGCCTGTGTCATCTTCCATGTACAGTATGACCCGATGCCTGCCTTCTGGTTGCCTGGCGATTGGAGGGAGCGTTGGCACCGGCTTGTCATCTCCCCTCTGCTCCCCGTTCGTGTCACAAATTTTACTGTATTTGACTCTCCCTGCCGGCCCCTGGAGGATGAGTTCCCCCTTTGAGTCTGTTCCCTCCCAAAGTTTCTTCCTTCTCGGGAGTTTTTCCTTGCCACTGTCGCCTATGGCTTACTCACTGGGGGCTTTGGGTGGGGATGCTGTAAAGCGCTTTGAGACAATGTAATGTTGTGATAATGCGCTATACAAAAATAAATTATTTGTTGTTGTTGAAAGCGTGAGTGTCACGCCTGACGCGTGAGAGTTGGCAACCCTGCTTTCTGTGTGCGTCTGTCTCTGACTTTCGGTGGCTAGCGATTCAGTATTACTCAGCATTAGGAGTCGTTTGCATTAATAATAATTAATTAATTTTTCTCTACAGTCCGCTGCCGCTGGACATTATGAAAGCAGCCCAAAAACCCGCAACCTCCTAATATTTACCCGTCACTGTATTTTAAAAATAGCCCAAATGGGCAAGAATACCACGGACCTGGCAACTCTGACACACACACGCACTGGCTGAGCTGCGTCAGAACACTCATGCTGCCGGGTGGAGGTGGGGTGGGTGGTGTAAAATTAAAAAAAAAATTAAACAACAGTGGCTGTCCTTCGGTCAGTTCAGTTGTGTTTCTATAGGCATTGTAGCATATTCCACAAACTGTTTATTCTATAGGTTATATAAACAAGTCAGTGCATTCAGTAGGCTGTTTCAGAGTCATTGGGATCCGTAAAATACACTCACCTAAAGGATTATTAGGAACACCTGTTCAATTTCTCATTAATGCAAACATCTAATCCACCAATCACATGGCAGTGATGCTAGAGGTCAGAGGAGAATGGGCCGACTGATTCAAGCTGATAGAAGAGCAACTTTGACTGAAATAACCACTCGTTACAACCGAGGTATGCAGCAAAGCATTTGTGAAGCCACAACACGCACAACCTTGAGGCGGATGGGCTACAACAGCAGAAGACCCCACCGGGTACCACGCATCTCCACTACAAATAGGAAAAAGAGACTACAATTTGCACGAGCTCACCAAAATTGGACAGTTGAAGACTGGAAAAATGTTGCCTGGTCTGATGAGTCTCGATTTCTGTT